AAATGTCCCTTTATCCTGCTGTGTACCTTTTCTTCTGTGTCCCCAATATCTGGTACAATGTCAAGCACATTGTTGATATCCAATAAATATTTGTTGCTGAATGTATGAATATGTATCCAATATTTTAAATTAATACAGCAAAATATAACGATATGTGTCCCATTTTTCTTCCCCCCCCTTTTCTTTGAATAGGACAGGAATAGAGGGACCTTAAGTCAACCCTCTTGGAGATTTTCAAAGGACTCTGAAATAACCACCATATATAAAAAGTTTAAGGACTTTTATAGTACTCTGGAAGTATGCTACATAGGGTCACATTGTAATTTTGCCTGTACACTTCTCTAACTCGGATCTTATGCTGTTTTTAAATAGCTAAACTCTGTGAATATTCCTACCCTCCCACTTGTTTTTTTAATAAAAAATCTGGCTTCTAGTCCCACAGTTCTTAATCTCTTCCTGTAAAGTCTAAAATCCTTATTCTAAATCCACAGATAGGTTCATAAGTCATTTCTTATTTGACTTGTTTCTGCAAATTGTTCACAACTCTCCTAAAATTCTTTTATTCTCTTGGTTCGTTACATTTCACATTCACCCCTGTTCACCTTCTTTTCAGTCTTCTTTCATTTTTTCCTTAAATGTATTCCTCAGGCTTCCATCCTTGCTGTTCTTTTGGGTAACCCCAATCTGCTAATTTCTAAATCTTTACCTTTAGTTCAGACCTTTAAATTCATCCACCTGCTATGTGTCTTCACTTGGCTGTCCTACAGACACCTGTGTGGATCTAGAACAATCATTCTTCCCATAACCTCTTGTGCTTAGTCTCTTTGGTTGATTTTAGGCCCATTCTCTTCTAAATTACTAAGACTCACGCCTCTCTACTTTTTCCCTAGTCAAGTAGTGTGTAAATTAAGCTCTACTGATTTTGTGTGTAAATCACTGATATATCACCAACTTTCCATTTTCATTGCTTTTACCTGAAGTACTACACTAACTTGTCTCCTTGTACCTGGCTTGTTTCCTCTTTGTTGTTCCCCTATGCTACCAGAGTAGACTTTCTAGAAGTATTCTAGAAGTATGCTTAAATTAATACCCTCAGTGACCTTGTGCACATTTAGGAGAAAGCCAAACTCCTTTGCTTGGTATACAAGATATCCTCCTTACCTTGATAATATTCTGATAAAACAGACTTGTAATTCTCCAAATGTATCACGTAGTCAGGCCTGAGTACATACTGTTACCTTTGCAAGTATCCTGGCCCTGCTCCCCATCTGGAATATTTAGATGTACCCTAACGGGTCCAGCACAAGCATCTCCTTTGTGAAATCCATCTTGCTCCATTCAAGGAGAGTCATCTAACTTCCTCTGTTGTGCCACCACTGTAATTAGAACCTACCTCTACTGTATTACTTATTGTACTGTATTATTTTGTTTTTGTTTTTTACAGCCTCCTTTACTAGAATGTGAGCTCCTTAAGGGCAGGAACAGGAATTTTATTAAAATTTCCATTTCCATAGCATAGTTTTTGGGATATGAACATTTGTTTGTTGAATAAATTGCTTTTACAGTGACCAACTTATTATTCTAAAGGTTACATCTTCCCTCAAATACTCTTTACAGTAAGAGTCAGTAGACTTCCAAGGAACTATGGACTTCAGGGGGGCGGGTCAATAAAGTTTCTGAAATTGTATTAAAAATTTGGTGTTTTTTTTGAGGGTATGTGAAAAGAGGCCAGTGTGGGAAAAAAAAAAAAAGTAATTTTTATGGGAAAGGGTGCTATCACAGGAATTTATGGAGTAATCGTAGGATTGTGGGCTAGAGTGATTTCTGTTTCAGATTCAAAGGGGAAGGGGGAGGGTTGTTGTAAATTATTCCATATATGCATCTTCTTAACTAAATATTTGAAAAAAAAACATGTATTATTTAATGTCCTGGTGTGGTGACGTAGGATAAGCACTGGACCACAAAGTTGGTTTGAACCACAAGGTTGGCAGTTTACACTCACCATCTGCTCCTTGGAAACACTAAACAGTACACAGACTCAATGGCACTTAGCAACACCTAATATCCTGGTGTGGTGCTGTAGGGTAAGTGCAGGACCACAAGGTCAGTGGTTCAAACTCACCAGCGGTTTCACGGAAACCTTATACCGTGTCATGGTAAGTTGGGACCGACTGGACAGCACATAACAAAACAACATCTAATGCTTTACTGGCATTTTCAACGACAGACAGTTACTGGGCTATGAATGTCTGATACAGGAACAACTCCTACTTGTCCTTTGTTGTTATGTAAATTTGCCATAATTTAGACCCAATTGAACCAATCCCTACTTGCAACACATTCTTTATCATAATCGCCTTAATTTGCAGCACATGCAGCGTTTAAATCATTGAAAAGGCTTGAGACCTTTTCTTGCATTAAGACAAGGCTAAGTAAGAAGCAGATGCACCAGTTCCAACTTACCTACAAAGTCTTCAAGAGACAGGAATGGAGGGATCTCATTTACAACGCGGGGACGGTATGCCTGTAATTTTATTGTAGGACATTTCATATTTAATAAGTGTATCAAATGATTTCAAGTTCAGATGTAAGTAATTATGAGTTCACCAAAAGCAAATGATCCTTTGTAACTCCTGATGTTTCTCTCTTTTCTGCAGTAGAACTAGAGTTCTTATCTTTATATAGTGAAGAAATTCAACTGATACAGTACCTTAAGAGTGATTAAGAAAACCAGACCTCCAAATAAAAGCACAGACACTTTTTATTTTTAACAGTAGTGTTTTGTTATAATTTAGAGAAACAACAAATAAATACATTCATTGGCCACAGCTATAGTTTTAGAACCAGTTTGAAACTGATTATATAGCTGAGAAACACTGTTAAACAATTTTTAAAAAGCAGCTATGCATAAAAAGCCACTTTAGCTGTAAGTTACATCTTCCATAAAACTACAGCCAGCTACAATAAGTGGTAAGAGTTTCAAAATGAATTGTCACCCAAATGTAACAATAAAAACAAATACTGCTAATCACTGTAGAATCACATTTAAGCAATGAAATTTGCTTTTGTAACTAATGAGCCAAAAAGGAAGGTCTGGAATTGTCATCATGTGCTTCAGTGCAGGATGAACAGGGATTCGAGAGCCCTTTGATTTTAAAAACAACTCCTTCCTTTGAGACCAAACTTAAAGTGCTCCTAGTGCTTTAGAACTTTTAAGCAAAAATTGGGCCAAAAGCTTGTCTGTCTTTGTCTTTGGTGATGTATTGTGGGAGATGTATATTAGCAGACAAATGCAAAAATTCTGGTACTTTCATAAATGATAAAATTAAACTTAAAAAAAAAACCCTCTATTTTGGAAGTCAACTAATGCCACTAAAAGAACCAAGTTATATTATCTGAAATTAATTTTTTAAAAAGTAATCTTTGTTTTTCTGGTCATTATCTAGGGGAGAAGAACTTTAAGGAAGTCTTACTAGAACATACTTACTTTATCACGGTGAACCCCAAAGATTAACAAAGACAACACATATCTTTTCAGAATAGCTCTAGATAATTAGATACCTAACATTATTAGCAAAAGAAATAGTTGGTGTCCTGAATAGAAATCTAATAACTGAAATTGCAATTAAGCTCATGTTATATACCATGGTAATATCAAGATTAATTTCTGCATTAACATTTTCTAATAATTTTGCTACAGTGAGAGAACTTGTTACAAATAAACCCAAAGTAACTTTTATAGTTGTGAATTTAAAATAATGTTATATTCTTACTTTGTTATAATTTAGTGAAACAACAAATATATAATTTTTAATGAAGTAAAATATAAATAAATTGTAAACAGAAGAAATTTCTTTGACTGAATATCAGCCCCCCAAAAGGTCAAAATCATTTAAAATTTCATTTGTTCCTTAGAATTTTACCTACCATATACTTGTGTGGATTTACTATATCAGTTATTAAAAAGTTGAAGGATTTTAATTAAAAGTATGAATAAGCTAACTTTAAATCAAAGTAGAAGACAGTTTAGTTCTGAAGAAAGAGACCAATTGTTAAGTTAGTTATCTTTTAGCCTGTGATAACTTTCCATTGTTACCAGCTCCATTAGCAACTTGAGGTATTCAACATTTAAAATAGACACTTATAGAAAGTGCATTTTAAAATTCTCTATTATCTTAGTCTACCATATATTGTTTAGATTTGGGATAGGACATTCAAGTCAGTTTTAATGTAATTCTAAAGGTATTCCAATATTGTTAACCACTGGTTTCATACTTACCTAGTTAAAACCTTTTATTAATTTAGTCTAGTGTTAAAGTAATTTGAATTCAATTTAATTAGACTTTGCCCAGATATGAGATAAATGTGAAAACTAAAGGAGAAATTATATGTCTTACAAAGTATTGCACTTGAGTTCACTGCAGTAATGATTTAATTACCTGAGGACAATCCTGCATCAATAGATAAGATCAGTAGTATCTTGTTTCAGCAAATAGAATGCTTTAAAAAAAAAGGTATCCAGGTTTTAACTTAGAATTGTACATTTGTGAATAATTCCTAAATGCATCTGTAAATGTATTTAGTCCCAAGAAGTTCCTACCCAAAATTCTCTATCTAAAAATCACTATTGCTTTCTTGAGGAACATGCTTTAACTCTACTACATACATCTTGTTGTTATGTGCCTTACAGTCGGTTCCGACTCATAGCGACATACATCTTAATCATACAAAATAATCACTTGACCTATTCTACCCAAAAGTAGCAACACAATTTTCAGTGGTATATTTTCTATTTGAAGACATGACTGTCGCTTCCCAAAGAGCACTGCTGGTTATCACTGTAAAGGATCACTGTGGTGTACCGTACTAGCATCTATTTAAAGTAACTTCTTAAGTATTTTCCATTGGCATTTCTAAGGTTATGCTTAAAAGAAGTATCTTCAATGATTAAATATTTCAAGTCAAGTTTTTAAAAGAATGATACATTCTTATGCCTTAATTCTGTATATAGTTCACACTGTAAAACTTTATTGGGAAAAAATTCATATAGAGTACACCACTGAATATACAGACTTAGATTTATATAGGAAAACTGTCTCCCAATTTGGTGTACAATATAATATGCCAGTGTGAATACTGGGATATGACTTTTGGGACTGCAGTTTACTCTCTCAGAACAAAGATAAAAGTGCAAATTGGCAAATATACAGGATGCTTGGAGGCCACCTCAAGTACCTTAAGTGCCCTCTTTCTCCCTCTCCAAATTTTCCGTTCTACTTCATGTTTCTATGAAGAGGTCACAAGTAACAGGTGTGTCCTTCACCGAACACAACCATGTTTCAAAGCTTTGTTTTCAGTTGCAACAGATGATGAAATGTTTATGTAGATGGAATCCCAATGCATTGAATATACACATTCATGAAAAACAATTCAAGCATTATGACTTGGTAATGCTGTCAGTTTTGTGGTGTTGCATATAAGCTATGGTGATTGATCATATCTAAACTACTACATGTAAAGAGGAGAGGAGCAGTGTCTGTCATGGGTCCATTCAGGTGGGGGGTGACCGTGTAACTGCTGCTGCCACACCCCGTCATGGTGCCATACCAGCCCAAACCTTGCGAATTTGATAAACTGCAATAAAAAAAAGGCAAAGAGAATGACAGGACTGGGGTCAGTTTTCAATGAATTTTATAGTATAGTTAGAATCAAATATATTGACATATGTTATTTGCTAAATAACAATGATTTTCTACACAATTTAATGACTAATCTAATATCCTTAATTTCCTACCACCTTATATTACAAGTGGAATAAGTAAATACCACTCAGAACTGACGTGATTATTAGAACAGTATCGTCATCTGTGGAGTCCTGGTATGGCACTGTGGGTTAATGCACCAGACTGTAAAGCCATTTGAACTATAAGATCGGTGGTTCAAGCTCACCAATGGTTCCTCAGAAACCCTATACTGGGCCACCAACTTGATGGCACTTAACAACAACATCATCATCTATAGTATTTACTGTATACTAGGTACTATTGTAAGGTGTGTGTATAAACATATATATGCATAGGTGTGTGAATATGTATGTATACACACATACAGTCCTTTAAGACTCACAGTAATACTGTGACACAGGTTCTATTATCACCCATATTTTGCAGATGAAAAACTGAGTCTCATAAACTTGGTCAAACAAAGCCTGGATTATAGAAAATGCTGAAAGCATTAGATGCGTTTGAATCCTGGCTATCACATTGCTTTGATACAGAGTGAATGTCATGCTAATTAAGGACATGTAATGATTTTAGAACAAGGAGGTCATGGGAAGATTGCCTATGGAACCTCAGCATTCCAAGACTTTTACCTAGGGTAGGGTTCCTCTGTAGATTTTAAACAGCCCTAAACTTACGGAAATATATATACAGCCACTATAGTAGTACTCCTTCCCTGATCACCCCCAAGCTCTAAGCTGACATGAATATTTCAGCTGAGCTGAATAAAATGGTACCATTTTACCCAAAGGCATTCCTCAAATCAAGGGTTAGAGTTCGAAGTTAGTTCTTTATAGTACAGGTCCCACCAGGGGTTTACTATCCACGGCTCTAAGCCCTAATTTTAAATGATCTTACTGACATAGACCATGACACCACCTTTTCTGTATTTGGGTAAAAGTTTAAAATGTGTTTTTCAATTATTCCAGTAATAATTCATGCTAAATGACACTCATTACATCTACCTTCCTTCTCGTGAACTTCCCAGTCTTGGTAAGTCTTCATCACTATCGTATCGTCTTGGATTATCGAAAAAGTAAGCTCTGGAACTGTAACTGTGACTATTTATCATGCCAGCAGGTGCCTGTGAACAAAGTATCAGATAGCATGTAAAGTATCAGACAGCATGTAAAGTATCAGATAGCATGTAAAGATTTTTTTCATCTACAGAAGGATACTGGGATCTACAATAATATTTACTTTTAAGCTTTGCTAAAAAGATAAGCTACCATTTTTTTTTTAATAAGGAGATCTGCATCAGATGATATTATGATATCATACCAAATTCTGGTTTAATCTCTGTGCCCGGAAAAATAATACCACCGACCATGCTGGCACATGCTCCCACAGGAAGAGGACCATTCCAAATACTATGAACTCTTCTCCACTTATGTCTTCTATATGAGCCTGTAAATAGAGCATGGCACAACAATTTTAAAATCTGTTTTGGCTATAAGCAATTGGTATTCATACTTTACTTGCTTTAGGAAGGTTAAGTTAAAACATGCCAAGCACAGGCATATAACATTGAAATTTTTTCTAAATTTTGTGGTTTCTCATGTACTTATCCCTTAAAGGAAATAAAAATGTCTGGCTGCTAGGAAGACTAAAAGGCAATTACATTTTTCAGTGCATCAGTTTATGAATATATTTTTAATATATGGATAATATATAGCAATCTCATTTTTAGGTCCCATCGTCTGAAGAGAATAGTTATAAAGAAACTATTGATTCCAGATGTCCCACAGGCAGCACACTGGCATTTACCATGAGTTATTCCTGTAGAAAAATAAAGTCATTCAGTTCAGCTGCTACTTAAAAAGATGTTTTTGGGTCCAACCTCCATACTGAAATTTATTGCTATTCTACCAGATACTGGAAGTAGGGAAATGGGAAGGGAATGAAGCAAATCTGGCACATGGAGGCAGATTTGAAAATTCTTTCTCTTTTGGAGACGATTGGAATTCTAGTAAAATGGTGTACCAGGATGCCTTAAATTCAGTACAAATTTTAATTAATATAGCTTTTTCCTTGCATGGTGCTATATGACAAGCACTGAACTGCTAACCACAGGGCCAGTGGTTCAAGCCAACCAGTTGCTCCTTGGAAACCATATCCAGGGTTGCTATCAGTCCAAACCAACTTGATAGCACTTAACAACAGCAACAACAACAACATGTTACAGTGGAGAACACTGAGAGGTGAAATAAGCATACTATACAGAGCATATTGAGAGTTACTGTAGCAAATACACGTACACCCAAGGAACTGTGAATGATCTCATTAACAAGACTAGTAACACTAGATTTTAAAAATGAAAGTCATTATTTAAATTTCTAAAACAGAAACAAAGATTTAGTTTATATGCAGCTCTTAGATAAGGAAGATTTAATTTTATCCTAAAAAATTTAAAGACATACCCACATTCACTGCCTAATGACAGATAATTAATTCATCTAGAGATATTTAAACATCATCTTTTGAAAAGCTAGTAATAGGTTTATGATCAATATACAATTGTTTGTAGTATTTACAAAATTTAAAAAAAAGAAAAAAATACTCGTTTTGAAAAACATCCTCTTTGAAGAGTTATTCCAAGCATCACATGTAAATGAGCATTTTTAAACAAAAAGCTTTAAATATGATTAATAACAGGAGACACATTCCATAAAAGTGTTGGTAATTTAAATACTTAAAATGTTTTCCTCATTAAAAGCTACCTTCATTATTACATTGTTAAGGCTGGCAATATGTGGTAGGTACTTACCTTATCTGAAAGATTATCCCAGCCATAGTTAAATGGACTTGCTAATGTATCCTGAGATATGGTGATCACCACCAAATTATAACAGGCTCTTGAGGAGTAGAGAAGAATGAGTACAGAGCCTACAACAACAGTCTGGCACAGAGACATACCCTAAAAGAAATAAAAATCATCATCATGATACCCTATACATTGATCATGTCAAGGATAGTTAACTCCTGCAATACCCACTTAGAAAACACAGTGACACCTTTAAAGTCCTTATGATCTGGTATTGCAAGTCATATTCTTAGACTCACTTGTGCTTAAAACTCCTTTGCCAATTTGCCCAGAGGCAGCTGGAGGAAGATTTTGTTCTGCCAAGGGTATCTTACTTGCTTAAGTGAATAAATAAGTTGACAAAAAAAATCAAAGCTTTATATTTATCAGAAAGGTACTTAGTCACCATAGAAAAGGATGGGGAATGGAAGCTTTCGTCCAGGTGATACTGCTAAATTTTGAAGCAAATTTAGAAATACAGCGCCTGTGCTATTTCTTTTATTTTATTAGAGAGTTAATGTTAGTTTCCTATTGATGACATTATAATGATGCCATCATCCAGGTGCTCAAAAGTACTTTCTAACTGATCATATTTTTAATATAATGGTTTTCATTATTTCCCCAAACATGGAAAGTTCTTATAACTTAGTGAGTGGTTCTCAACTCCATTCAGGAGGGTTGCTTCACTTCTTGCAAGGATTTTTCACATGGGGTGTATATTTCAATACAATTGGTTTACTTTGTAATCCTACATATTTTATCTTATCATCAAAAACATTTTTTTTCTGAGAAGTAGCACCCTTGCCAAAGAGATCCATGGCAAATACCCAACAGTGTGTCTTAGTTTTCTAGTGCTGTTGCAACAGAAATATTACAACTGGGTGGTTTTAAAGGACAGAAATTAGTGTTCTTAGTCTGTTGTTTAGTGCCATTGAGTTGTTTCCAACTCAAAGTGACTCTGTATAGGGTAGGGTTTCGAGGAGTGGTTGGTAAGTTTGAATCGTTGACCTTGTGGTTTGGTGCTTATCCTTCAGCGCCACACCAGGCTAGAAATCTGAATTCAGAGCATTTTAGGGGAAGGCTCTTTCTGTCCCTCTGGGGGGATAGCCTTGTGTTAGCTTCTCTAGCTCTGGCATTTCTTAGTTCCTTGGTGATATCCACATGATATCTGTCTTTCTCCTATTGG